GCAATACTCGTCCCCCGGCCTTTGGCCGGCTCCTCGTATTGCAGTTCTCATCATGGAGTTTGCCTTGGGAGCCTAACGTGACGGACTGAATGGGCGAGCAGTCGTCCTTCCCCAACTCTTCCCTCGCATAGGAAGCGCTTAAATCTGTATAGCGGCGCCTATTCGTTTGAATTGCAGCCTGCAGCGTCTTAGGCGCTCTGAATGCCCACAGCGCTTGTTTTTTGCGCCAAGACTTTTCGCCAAGCCTGAAGGACTGAATGGGCGAGCAGTCGTTCTTCCCCCCAGCCGGAGTTGCATGGAATTTTCTGTTTGGAACTCTGCCCAGAAAGCGCTCATATTTGAATGGCGGCGCCTATTTGGGGGCATTTGTATTGTTATGGCGCTTATTCGTTACCATGAAAGGGAATTTTCAGCGCCAATGTGCAATTTCCACGCAAAGAGATTTTTTTTTCAGCCTGGTAAATACCCTTCTACTTCCTTACGTCAGTAGCGGGAATTTTTACATAAATACACAGGTTCTTGTTAGATATAGTGTTCGATAGATATGTCAGAAAGGTTCATAGACTGTTCACGGGTATAGCACGGAACCAAGAAAAACGGCGATTTTCACGAAACCACCAACCTCAAAACACCATTCACCCAATCGACCACACACCCTCTAAACCACACCTTCCCCAACAAAAAATCAACCCTCTTCACCCCCTGACTCCTCTCCGCCTGCTCAGCATCAGCCCCAAACACACCACTCCCAAACACCCCCGCATGCGCAGCAGCCCTACACCGATTCGTATACGCCCTCGAAATATGCTCCTCCTCCGCCGAACTCAACTGCGCCCAATCCACATGCGAAATCCTCGTATGCAACGTCCGATGAATACACATCAGCACGTCGATAAACGTGATAGGCGCAACACCTCCGTACCCAGCAAGCGGATCAGGTCGAAAAGCGCTCGAACCAGGATTCTCCATTCCCATCTCTTGGTTGTAGGATATATCGATAGGCCACTTGGGCAGGAGATCACACACAACTCGCAACCTCGTCAACCCAGGCATCGTCGCCGGCTGCGTCATATGATCCATCGGTGCCGGCCCCGTCTGTCCAACCGCAACGACACCATCAGGCCGTGTCGTATGCGACAGGACCACCAGGGGGTTAAACTGCGGGGAAGACAAATCGAAGAGAAAGTCTCCCCTCCAATTCTCCGCATTCAACCAAGGATGGAGGTGGAATTGACCGGGGGAGTGGGGGATGTTGGGTAGCGGGGAAGGTAGACCGCCGTAAGGCGAACCGCTGAAATGGGCAGCGTAGTGGTCGTATTGGCCTCCAGCCCATGCGAAGGGATAGGGTTGGGCGTAGGGACTGCCTCCGGCTGCTGCGCCGAAGGAGCGGCGACGGTCTCGGGTGTAAGGGTCTTCGCCAGCAGCGAGATATGGGGAGGTGGAAGCGTGCCATGAAGGACGTCGTTGCCTGTGACCGTAGACTGCGTCGTATCCGACGTTGTCGTACCCAGTGGAGGGGAACACGACACGGTTCGTGGCGTTGGGCGAGCCTGGCAGCGGTATAGAGTTTCGGTAGGGAGAGTGGTATGGAGAATGGTACGGCGAGTGGTAAGGAGAACCTCCGCCGGGAAGTGTAGCAGCGGGGATGTATGGCGACCCCTGCGGGGTTTGATAGGATGTGTTGACGTAGCCAGATGCAAAGTTGGTTGCTGGGCGGTAGATGAATGGTTCCGACATGGCGATGGTGTCTGCGCTAGTATAGAATGTAGATGTGCTCGAGAGCTAGGAGATGCAAGTCGACTGATAGCTCAGGCTGCGTCAATATCGGATCCGTTATCGATAATCGTCCGCCAGCCGCTGCACATGTATGAAATCAGCATTCGCTCTACAACACCACCACAAAAATCACACTCACCTAGTACCACAGGCAAAAGAGGATGATGGCGGTCGAGAAGCAAGAAAGCATCAGCTGCGATTCCGCCCAATAAAGTCTATTGCAATTGCTTGTGCGTGTTTCTTCGAGTAACTCTGACTCTGAGCGCTGAAAAAAATGAAACGCCCATTTTCATAGTAATACCCATAGCATGTGCCCCTCTTTTTTTACGTAGCTCATTGCAGGGCAGAGAGCGAGTTGACACAGCTGGGCGTGAACATTATTTTTGCATGGAAATATACCAAAAAAATATGACGCCTCACAGTTGAGCACATATTTGGGCTGGAAATAGTCGAATTTGAATTGGATTTCGCATATTTGAAGTAAAAAATACTCACCGGTAAGCAAGGCGTCATATTTCTGCTTCATATTCCGCAACAAAATAGGTTTTTGCCCCAGCTGTGTGAGCTTTGAGCATGGACGAAAGAACGAGAGAACGCGAGATAGGCCGTAAAGCTCACATGTGCGCTTATTTGGGCGCAACCCCCCCGTGGCCATGTGCTTTGACCAAGTTCCGCTCTGCCCAGGCTTCTTCCGTGACCCCCACCATTCATTTCTTCGATTGTTCTTTCTCATTGACTCCAAACGTTCCTTTCTCGAACCCGGTTGACCCTTCTCATTATCCCACTCTCGAGAACTTGCGAATAGAACAGATTCCCTTCGAGCTCTCTTGGTACGACGCATATGCGTAAGCCTCGAAATCGAGGCTGCGATCGAAACTTTCAGTACCATTGACGCTGTTATACAGAAACGTCTAAATTCACAAAACCTGCTGTCAAAAACCCATAAGCAGCAACGGTCTCATTCGAATCAAATCGAATGACAGCTATACATTCGTAACAAAAAAAAAACAATACAAGTCAACCTCCTCGTCTGAACTAGGCTACATTCACCAATTCAGTCCCCTTCCCCCACATTGACCGAACCAGCGCGCCGCCTCCATCTTTCCAACCTCCATTCGACCCTTGACCTCTGCTCTTCATAACTTATGAGTACATGTTTCTAGGAATAGCAATCCCACATCCGAACAACAGAACACCATCAAGCTATAAAAGCCCCTCCCCCTCACTAGCACTTCTCACAGGGCTGTCTTCAAGCAATCATGAAGTTAAAAGCTCTAAGTATCGCCCTACTCTACTCTACGCAATCAGCACTCGCAGCCAACAGTTTCGCCGGTGCAAACGTACGTGCACTTCAATCTCAACCTCGGCGTCGACGTTGAGAATCCTTACCCCCCTCTCTCTCCGGCACACAGAACTACTTCATCTACAGCCTCCCAGACACCGACAGACATGCCATCTTGGACGGTATGAAAGCCGCCGGTATGAAAGTACGTTCCTCGTTCCTCATTGCCTTACCTTTCAACCACTCAACACCCATCGTCCTTCCCACTGCCCAGGTCCTACGCACATGGGTAACAGGCCACACAGCCGGTCAAAAGAACAGCAGCAACACCGACATCCCAGACCTCGAACATAACGGTATCGGGACCTACGATGACAAGATTCTCGATCAGATTGATCAGTTGATGGTGAGTGGCCTCTGCTCTCATCAGGCAGCAGGCTAAACGTTGACAATGCATTTTTGGGTCGTGACGGTGGCGTAGGTCGATGCACATGCTCGTGGTAGGCTCCCATGTCGCGTTTCTAATACGTTTTGTGTGCTGATCGGCGTTTTTTCGAATAGGTATCAAACTTCTCATTGGTAAGTATGGATACCATTTTCAACGATGCATACGATTCTCACCCGTCAACTTGCCCATAGGAATGCACGACAGTAAGCCCCATTTCCTCCTACCTACCACGACTTCGAGCTTCACCTCCACCTCCACCTCCACCCCCCCCCACCCAGAAAACTCCCTCCAATTCGACAACAACGACGTCTACCGTAAACGTTACGGCGAGCGAAACTTTTACACCGACCCAGGTAAGCAACTATCCAACTACCCGTACGCTTCTTATCTTACGGACAAACGTAGACGCCATCAACAACTTCAACCAACGTATAACCCACATCATGAACATCCACAAGAATAAACTCCTCAATAACAAACCTTGGAGTGAACTTGGAGGGTATATTTTTGGGTATGAGGCTCAGAATGAGTACGTGTTTCTTGGTATCACCAACGGATGCGGATGGGACCTCACTCATTCTAGGCCTATGATCTTCGATCAAGATTTTTACAAGGTACTATAACGCCTCAAACCAACTCACCCACTCACTCACCCACTCGCTCGCTCACACAACGCCAGGCCCACCTCTCCTGGGTCTGCAACACCGCCCAACAGGTACGTCCCCGTCCACCTCCCCCTCCCCACCACCACCCTCACCGAAAAAAAAACCCCAAACACCAGATCCGCAACAACGTCGGAGACCGAAACCAACTCATCTTCACCGGCGGAGGCTCAGCAGCATCCAGCGTCCAACCTTTCTTCTTCAGCAGTTCGTGCCCAGCGATCGACGTCGTCGCTATTCACGATTATAACGAGTGCGTCCCCCTCTTCTCAACACCCCCACACTAACACACACTAACCCCCCCCCCTCCCCACAGCGACTACGACACCTTCATTCCCACCGCAATCTCCCAAGCCCGCTCCGCCGGCAAAAAACTCATCATCGAAGAATGGGGGTCCCTCGTCGGCTCAGGTCGAACAGCAAACCTAAACTCCAACATCCAAAAAATCAACAACTACAAGGTCCCGTGGTTGTATTGGGAGTTGATCTCGAATCCGGATCCTCATGAGGGGGAGGATTATGAGGTGTGTTCTTTTTTTCGTGCAAGGGTGGGGCGGGGTTGATGTTGATGTGTTGTGGTTGTAGATCCAGGTGAACGGTGCGGATTGGAATACGTTGGCTGCGGGGTCGAAGAATACGGCTGGGCTTACGGGGGCGCCGTTTGATTTTAGTGGTTCTTTGGCTTTGTAAAGGACCCGTACTACGCTGTGTGGTTGGGAAAGAATATTGTATTGCTATATGACGTTTGCTCATATACATACGTGAGGTAGCAAGACATAGCTATGGCGAGCGAAGTAAGAATGAAAAAAGAAACAAGTCGCAAAAAGATTACTTCCCTCTAGCCGACTTGAACGACTGACCTCGTCATCAGTATCTAACGTGACGCTATTGAATACTAGTGACGCGCTCTACCAACTGAGCTAAGAGGGACAATATTAGTTACATGTTATTTGCATATATGTATATCATACAAAAGCACAGAGTAAACAGATGTCGGATTGTCCCAAAGACAAAACCTTCATCCGGCCCACATAGATCCATTGCACCCCAAACGTAAAAAACATTTTGGGTTACAGCGCAACATCATGATCATGGACTACACCACCACCTCTATCCAATGCCAACCCCGCGAAGGAAATCAGCTTGTCCTCCCCACCGACATATGAAGTTCGAAGACCACCCCACTCTCGACCGTCAACGAACCCCATCCGGCAGAGAAAAGAACACCCCAAAAAGGGAAAAAGGAAGAAATGACGACGACCACGACAGCTCAGCAGCTTCTTCAGCTCTGTTAGCTCGTTCGGGGGTTTTCATATATACACGTACAACACCATCGCGACTTGTTCAAGCCCCACATCCCTCGCACAAGAGGAACCCGAGAGGCTGGGTCGCCTCAGGAATTACTCCTCGAGGCGACCGTCGCTGATTGTGTCAGAATTATACAAGAAAGCTTCACGCTTCATGTTTTTTTACATGCTCTTCGACGTCTCGCCTACTGCCCCCTCCGTGACATCTTCCGACCGACCGACGTTGAGCCCTCTCCCCGTGTGACGTGCGAGCCGTCCCTGCAATCTTCGCACAAAGAGCCGTCCGTGCTACGACGCTGCGAATGATCCACGGATGCGAGGGAACTGAGCTGGCGACGACGGCGCATAGCAGGGGGGGGATGTTCCGTAGCGGCGGAGAAGGAGGGAGGAAGGCAGACTCCAAGCAGGAGAGTGACAGGTGCAAACGACCATGTCGCGATACAAGTGATAACTCAACTTGCAAACATAGACTCCAGGCCGTCGGGCTACGCGGCGAATCCGTGAGTCTGGTCTATGAGGCCGACTACGTCTGACCCATCATAAGAGTACGCTGTGCACGCCAAAGGCTGCTACAAGCGGCGGTCCATCCACGTCTACGACATTGCGAGCGAGATAGTTTCGATGGCCGACTTGAATGATCCTCGCGGCGAAAAACGCTTCTTTCTCCCAAAAGGTCGAATTGTGCCTGAAGTCGAACCTTGAGATGCGTTGCCGGGGGTTGTCGACAACCAACGACCGATTGTTGGTAAACGAAGTATTCTCTGGGTCGACTAGAGATCGTATACGTGGCGACTGCGATTCGTGCAAGCCAGATAGCGAGGGGTGCAGGTGGGTGTCCGTGAATGCGTTATTGGCGACTAGATGTAATCCTCCAAAGCTGCTGTACAGACTCTATCTTCGACCTCGACCTGCTTCGCCCTTCCGATGGCATCCACAACGACGATACAAAGGCCATCCCAGCTCTGCTCTCGAGAGAACCGGGCCACTCCTCCTGGGGAAAAGTGGAGCCTATACGAAAACTGCCTCTTTCTGAGACGAAGGGGACTTTCTGCCCGCGTGGCGTTCATCTACACTGCACTTCCCGCACAGCGTCGCCATCCTCTATCTGAGGGACAGGGCCTTTCTGCCCATGGTCATCCGTATAGTAACGGTGCCAAGACCTAACCAATCCCCCTCCAGAGTAGCTGGCCGTCTCTCCTGCGGAATAGACGGGGTCTGTCGAACCATCCACTATACGTGTGATGGTCCAAGTCATCCTAATGGGGTCTTCCGAACCTCCACAAAGGTATCAAGTGCAATCACCAAAGTCGGCCTTCCACAAGAGAAGTATACCAACTCGCTACTCTCCTGAATAACGGGGCACATATGAACCTCATCCAACTCCTGACCAGAGCTCAAGGATAGGTGGGATGCCGGATGAATCTCTGTTCATCTTCCAGTAAACCACTGCCAGAGAGAAATCTGAGGAATCGGACCTCTGAGTGAGCTCCCCAGCCACATCGACGTTGGAGACGAAGAAATCCCAGCGAAACGATGTGCCGTCGTGTGAGCGATGGTGGTGGTCAAAGGAAACGGCTCCTGAAGCTTAGTAAGCAGGCTGCTCTCGCTTCCGCTGCTCCGGCTCGGCTTTTACTCATGATTCATCCGACTAATTCGCCGGCGCCAATTGGAGGTCTACTCCGCCGATTGCCAATCTTCTTCACACGGAGCGCCAGCGAGTGCCTCTCACAAAGATTGCACATGCGGTTCTACAAGACTTTGCCAAGACATCGAAAAGATAGGGAGCGGTGGTACTCGCTAGCGTACCGCGCTTTAATTGATCGTACTGTAAGTACCAAGTATCAGTCGTTGATGATTGAGATAATTAAGTTCAGGTTGAACATATAGGGCTAGAGCATGTATGTCTATGACTTGCACTAGTCCGAGTCGGATTGCAAGTTGCTTTCATCAACTCCTCGATATGGCTTGTAAGCCCCAGTGAACATCATGATCGTGACTGAAGATAGGAGACGTCGAAATGAACGCTCAGCCTGAGATTCACGTCCCTGGGACCTGCAGACTTGCTTGCCGTATTTGCAGCTCCATTGTGTGGAACCGGAACCCATGATCCAGCAACGCTCCGTCGTACGGCCGCAGACCTGGGAGACAGCCTTCAGAGACATATGCCCTGAATTTCGTGTATGGCCCCCGGAGGTCAGTATTCGGATATCAAGATGCTTTGAACAGCATTGGAAGCCCCCTCGCTGGGAGATTGACTTCCGCCGCAACAAAAACATGGCACGTCCGTGGGCTGCGTGTGTATGGCCTGCTCAAGGGTTAATTAAACAAGCTAATCGCTATCGTTCTTCATTCCGCAGATGCAACAACCATAAGCACAGTTAGCGCCACAACATTGAAGACGAAAATAGGCTTCGGAGTATGGACGACCTTCTTTGACAGGTAAAATGTAATATACCCTCGCCGCGAGCCGCGAAACCTATAAAATCAGGTCAACCTTCTACAAGATCGTCAGGCTCAAGCCGTTGTACCGATAGCCGCCTCAACTCAGAACAACCTCATTCTCCGCAACAATACCCCCACATAACATGTCTTACCACACTGACACCCCCCTCGATCCCACATTCGATAGCGATATCAGAGACCTCCACCTCATCTACGACTACGCCGCCCACGACGCCGACGGTAATCCCGAAACCTGGCGCTACGAAATGTGGTTTTTCAGCCACAACCGTGTCGTCTACGCCATTCATGGCGGACCCATGGCCGGTCGGTACAATTACCAAACCGCCACATACCAATGTATCCGCCCCGGAGAACTCTGGCAATGCAACTGGCTCGAAGAAACGGGAACCATCGTCTCGCTCGTTTATGATTTGAAGAACGATAGCCTCACGACGTTGATTGGTTTCTCGAAGGGGCATTGGGAGAACCCTGCGCAGGCACATGGGGATAAGAGGGACCCGGAGTCTTTTGAGAGGTGGAGGAAGCTTGCGGAGATTGGGAAGCAGACGGATAGGTTTATGTTGAGCGAACAGGCGAAAATTGTGGAGAAATTTAGGGGGAAAGGGAGCCTGGTTCCGATTGAACCTGACGCTGCAACATTGTAGGATGGAAGGTTGGCGGCTTTCGGCCCTGGTCGAACGGATGATAGTGGAGTGTACGAGAAATATCTGGAAGTCTGCCCATTTGGAAGTTCAAATTATTCACAAGGCTCTCCAAGCTGGTACTTACTGATGTAGTATTCGAAATGTCCAGAAATCATGACCTGGCCCTCGAGCGGTTTATACCAACGACGGGCGTTCGTACATCAGCTAGACGAAGCGGCGTGGCGTGAGCTTGGACATCTGAATTGTGCGAAGTGGGCGATCTCAGTGGATTTATCTTAGATTTGTGAGATGGAACCGTGTGTGTACGACGGTGATTTCGGGCAGTATATCTTCGCTGACACCGCTGGGGGCGTCATATAACTGAGAAGGAAGCATCAGCGTTAAAAATTGTACAAAGAGACAGGCAAGATCCGTACCGTATGGGACCAGTCGCATGGCAGTGGTTATCCAAACACGATTTGGATGATTGTCGTGGTCTTCGAGCTAGTACTTGTATCGAGATTGTATCAACTTTAAACCGGTGGGATGCTGTTTGCAGTGGTAGCCACGATTGTTATTTACCACCTTTGGAAAACAACTCAAGCTTCATAGAACGTACCTTGTCGAACTCGTCCACCGAAGAAGCAACCGTATTTACACCATTAGACGCCCTCTTGGCCGCTGTCAGCGTCGGGATCTGCCTTCGTGAGCACCAATGAATGATTGAGAATTCGGGAGTATAAGTCCTTCGAGACTGGGCCTGTATGCGCGTACTTTCAAAGGGCTGAAAAGGGTGGTAGGAACTTGAAAGTAGCAGTCGACATGCAGAAACTGCTCTATCAATGCTTCAGCGGTCGAAGCTGGTGAACTTTTATTCATTTGAGTCAACCACATACCATACAAAATAAGCACAAGGCTGGTGCGTTACTGCACTGGACGCAAGGAACTTTATTCATGCGAGTGAGGTGGTGGTGAGATGTAAAAAGCGGCCTTTGCTTCATCGGCACTTAACTCGGATTTGGCTTGTCGGCAATAACTAAGACTTAAACGAGCGCCCGGCGTTGCGCCTTTCAACCAGCCCTACAGACTCTCCCATTAGCAATAACCGAATTACTCCTTCGCTCGAGAGTCTTCATAGTGACGGTACATATACTGTCGCTAAAATCCTCATCACGGCCGGTTACGCCTTCGTAGGGCAGTTCTTCGCTCAAATGTCAAGATGGGCCAGCCGCCAGTCTTAAGAGGACCGTAAATCGGAGGGTTGGTCTCGTGCAAGGTGCGTAGTTGTTCTGCAGGCAAGTAGCTCAACCGCGAGTCACATTTTTGCCAAGCAATCCGTACTTATCAAAGGCGGAGAGTGCGTAGGCAATCTTGATGGGCCTGAACGTACTGGCAAGGAGTGGAGAGACCTCGGGACTTGGGTATCTTGGATAACATGGTGCTTTCGAGGACAGTGGAGGGACGCAGGGAGAAGGCCGTGAAACACATCAATAAGAGAAACTCTTGTCATCTCTCCACGCCTCGATTCTATTCTTGT